CCTTTTCTCCTGGACTGTGTGAACCCAGCCTGCTTCCTTCCTCCCTGTCCTGTTTCAGATTTTGCCTTGCACCTGGGAAAGCCCCTGGGAGATCCTCCCAAGGTGCTGTATTTTTCTACCTCATGGATTATTCTCCCAGAAATTGCAATGTATTTTTTTTAGGGGAGTATCTTCAACAAAGCAGAAGGATTCTTCTACGTTTGGCAACAATAAGGCTTGCATCCGAGCCTTCTACCTGGCAGGATGCCAATCCTGTTTGCTGTCCCTATGTCCTGAAAACATGAGGGACTGGCAGATGTCATTTTGGTCTGAAGAGTTGACTTGTTGAAATTCAGCCTTAAATTAAGCTCTTAGTTGTTCAGCTTGGAGGGCAACTTTGATTTTTCTGTATGTTGTAGTCTCTCGTATTCACTTGGGCGATCAGGATGATATAGTCATCTGAGGTTATGCTTTGCAAAAGGCTGAGGGTATGGAATATTTGTTTCCATGTCTGAGTCTTAGAAATTGCTGTGATACTTTGTGAAGCTATTGCCTTGGGGCCAAAAATAATCAGGGATTTTAAACTGGGTAAGGGACAGGGTGCTAAAATCTTAAGCTCTGGAAATATTTCATGACACTGGTGTATTCACTCATGTGTTCCAGATGTATTCTAATTGTGTATGAGATGTTTGTACACATGTGTGTGTCTCTCAGGAAGTAGGAAATAAAAATGGAAGATACTATGACCTCAAAAAAAAAAAAAAAAAAAACCAACTTTGAGCTAGGATAAAAATTGGGTAAAGGACATTTGCTTGCCTGCAAATGAATCACTATGGAAATGTGATCTTCCCATATCATCAAGAAACTTGTTTTCTGGATGAGTACTGGGAGAATAAAATGAGAACTCTGGAGTGAGCTAAACTGATCCAATTAAGTTTTTCTGCTTAGCAGACAGAATATAATTTTTTGACAACCTTCCCCACGTGGTGCCTGTGCTAGGTTTGTCCTGAGAACGTCCCTCAGTAATTTCATATTTATGTGGCCTACAGGATGTCCTGTCTGCAGGGCTGAGTCAGTTGGGGAACACCAGAGGCTACACAGGACCTCTTCTTGCTACTGGGTTAATGAGCTTGACAGGTTCTTTGTCTCACCCAATTCTTATCATGTAAGCAGCAGCAGCCGCCAGGAACTCTTCAAGTGTAGCACAAGTCTGTGCTAACCCAGTGGTAAAATCCCTTAGATCCCCTGCTGGTCTCCGGCAGTCTCCTTGATTTGGGGTACCGTGTATATTTTCAGCTTTGACTTTAATGCTTTCTAGGATGGGGTGAGCACCCTTAATCGAGGCACTCTCCATTAGCTTCCTTTGCGAAGGCTACTTACTGCCGGTCACAATCCAGCACTCAGACAGAGCCAAGGGGATATTCTCTTGCCCACGGCTATGATGTCAGACAGTGCATGGGTTCTAGCAACAAGAGACAAGATCACCAAAGGCCTTTGCTCCCCTCTGACATGGAGGCCTGGGGCTTACAGTTTGGAATACAACATGTGAAGGGTTTTTTTTGTTGTCGTTTATATTTTTTAAATGTAAATTTGATTATTTTATTGCTAATTTAAAAATAAAAATGACTTTATATTGATTGTGAAACAGTTTTCTGGCTCTATCTCTGTGTAGAAACACTTAGTGATTTGGTGCCACCATGTGGTGATTTTAATTCAGGTTTTAGAATTAAAACAGTTCAAATCTTTTTAAGCCATGGAAAAGTTCAATGTTTGAACATGGTTTAACTCCCACAGAATACAGTGTCACTATGTTTGAGTTTCAGATTTGAGGTGTTCCCCCCAAAAGAATTTGGTTCAGTCCTTGAGAGTATCTGGCTCTAGGAGGAAATGGTGAGATCTGTCATATTATCTAGAAGGCAGAGTGATCATACCAAACATCCTCGGGAACTCTGATCTAATTTTTGAATTTCTCACCAGAAATTACATTTCTACGAACATTCTGGGTTCTAGAAGCCAGATCCATCTCCCTTGTCCTCCTGTTGCTCTCTTCCTTCATGCCCTCTCCCATGCCCACATGCAGTCATCTCCCTTCCTGCAGAACGCTTTTGCGGTGGTTTCTCATGTGTTCTTTCTTTCCTTGTCTGGATGAGCAGAAGAAGATCATGATTATGATCTGCTGTATTATCCTTGCGATCATCTTAGCTTCCACCATTGGGAGCATATTTGCCTGAAAAAGGTGAGCCATGTGTGGGGAGGGCCAGGCCTTCTTTTACTTACTTGAAACCTTTGTGTCCTGGGGGCACTCTAGGTGCCTTAATCTGGGTGGGATTAGGTATTGATAAAGGTTAGAGAAAACTAAGGAAAGGGGTGTTTCAGAGACAGAAAAGGGAGCGAAGAATGAACTGTTAGCAGGTAGTCTGTGGGAGGAGAGGGGGAAGACAGAAGGTGGCGATCTGTCCTGTAGCCAGGTGTGGCACAATGTTTTGTACAGATCAAGGATATTGACTCCTGCTAAACAGTTTGAGCCTTGGTACCTGGAAGTGCAAAAGGAACAAGAAGTAGTTCTTGCATTAGATGCATCTTGAACTTTTTGGAAGAGGGCTGGCCACACAGTAAACTCGAATTAAGTTTCTTCCTTTTCAAGGTTAATGAAAGTTAACACAGCCTTGTGTATAGTCCCTTACCCCTGTTTAAGAGGGATTTGGGGATCCCAGCCACAAACACCATGCTATATAATCTATGACTTTTTTCCCTTCATTTTTGTTATCTCCCACAGCCCTCACAGATTGGTCGACTGGCATTTGTAATCCTCCTTCCACTTCTGTGGTACCATCACTTCTCCACGCAGACTCTTCATCAGCTTCTCCTCTTTCCATTATGAAACTTCTTAGGAAACAGGGCATCAATCAACTACTTATTAAGAATTATGCAAAGAAGAACAAACATAAAAATACAGATTGGGTGGAGGACAGGGACAGGGAGTAGATACATAGCTGATTAGGCAGATGGCTTAAAGGAGGACTGCAGGGTAGAGAAGAAAGCAGAGTGGGTCCCTCTTTAGGAAGTGAAACTTAGAGCCTGCACGTGCAGCACGGCTGTGAAGGGGCAAAAATCATAGTGCACCTAACTCAGCAGGTTCTTACTTGAACTGCTGTGAGTTGGTCAAGTCAGGGACTTCTGCTCTTCTAGGTCTCACCTTTGACCACCTTACATCTGTTTCCTCTTTCAGGCTCCAGTAGTACTTAAAAGTGAAGTGTATCTAAGGATAGGCACATGCCTATCTTGCTCACTGCTGTGTCCCCACTTTTTAGCACAGTGTCTGCTGCTTACAGGTACTCAAATATCTGCTGACTTATAATTAAGCTCTTACTTCAGTCATGGACAAATCCTTGGGTTTGACTCCTAAACTCTTTAGGGTACCAATGAGAACATGGTTATTATCAGAGGCTGTTGGGAATGGGCTGATCTATTAATGCAAAAATGCTGCCAACCCTCCCCCCCATTACCAGATCAACTTTAAAGTGCTTTTTCTATGGGTGGTGATGGTGGACTTATATCAACAGCCTCTTAATCTGTGGAGAATATGGCTGGCCCCAGGACTGTGGTTTAATAACTCAACACAGGCCCACAAAATAAAAGAAACAGGTTTATAGTATGACTGATCTCTCACATCAGTGGCACACTCTGTGAACCATAATAAAGAACAGATAAAGGTGTCAGGTGAGAAAGGTAAAATGAAGTTATCACTCACTTCACCTCTCACCTGATTTGTGTCGTTAGCTGAAACTGCTGGCCAGTATAAGTGTAAGAAACTGTTATAGGCTGGGTGCAGTGGCTCACGCCTGTAATCCCAGGATCATGGGAGGCCGAGGCAGGTGGATGACCCGAGGTAAGGAGTTTGAGACCAGCCTGACCAACATAGTGAAACCCCATCTCTACTAAAAATACAAAATTAGCCAGGCAAGTGACTCATGCTCCTTGAGAGGTTGAGGCAGGAGAATTGCTTGAATGCAGGAGGTAGAGGTTACAGTGAGCCGAGATCGTGCCACTACTGCACTCCAGCCTGGGCAACGAGAGAAATTCCATCTCAAAACAAAAAAGAAGCTGTTCTAAATACTGTCCCCAGCTCCATTCAAGGTTCAGTTGTGTTCAGCTTTAAAACGAGCTATGTGAATGTGTTCTAGTGCAGATAACTTTGTGATTTAGTTACAAGAATTTCACTAAAAATTCAAAAAAATCACAGCATACAACCGTGAGGAGCACACAACTGCTAAGTTTGTACTTCTGAAAGTAAATTATTACTTTGTTTGATACTTTATTTTTTAAAAAAGTGAGATTAAAAAATATTTTGGTCAGTGCTGTATTCTACCCACCTTCAAAAGCCAATGGTTTAATATCTCTATTAATTTGTGCTTCCTTTAGTTTGAATAGGGGATAGAAGACTGCAGCTGGCTAGCTCTGGAAAACATGAATCTGGGCAAACAGGGAGCTGGAGCTGTGGAGATGAGTCCTAGGGGGCCCTCATTCACTAGCAGTTAAGAATTTACATGTGGCATGGCGTGTAGCACTGTACTGGATTCTGCAGGGGCACAAACATAGACCCTCCCTCTTTGGAGAATTTCAGACCTAGAAAAGGCCACACAGTTTTAACTTTTGCTATTGGTTCCTTTGCTAAAAGGCAAAGGGTATGTTCCTTGCATATTGTCCAACATTCCCATTCCAAGACTGAGAGAAGATGGGTAGCTGGGCATCAATAAATGTTGAATCCATTGACCTATGTACTGTTGTTTTTTTTCTTACACTAAAAATGTGTTTTTACCTAGTAAAATATCACAGAAACTGGCTCCGGAAGTGTGTACATATAAAAGGCAGTAAAGTTAGACTCGCATCATAGATGGCAGAATGCAAACCTTTGTTTCAGCCTTCATGTTCATCTTACAGCCCAGGAGAACCAAGAGCACTTTACAGTCATTCAGGCCTATTGTAAAATCTCTTAAGGGATTAAGAATGACCAATGAGAATTTATATCCTGATGTTCAAATTTTATTTAATGAAAATATAATAGAGTTGTCATTTTAAATCAACAAATGTCATTGTTTTTCAGAAATCATCTACTCATATGCTGCTCCTTAGTTATGACTTAAGAGCTACCCAAAGACTTAAGTGGGTCGGCTGAGGGAAAGAAAAATGCAGAATCCTTCTTTCAATAGCCTATATACAGTTATCTCTTACAGTCGCTACACACGTTCGGGCATGTAGAACTTGCCCCAGTATTTCCCCTTCTGAGTCAAGTCATACGGGCTCAGTACTTTCCGAATGCCCAGCATGTTGGCAGTGGCTATTCGCTCAAATGTCCAGGGGTTCTGGTTGTTACGTTCTCTTTCCTCTTGATCTTTCCGCATCTTCGCTAGAGTCTCGCGGCTCACGGCCTTTGCTGGGAAGGGCAACTTGTGGGCCACCTGGTTAAGGAAACCTTGCACTTCTTCGAATTCACAACGCCCACCCATCTCTACTACAAGGCGGCCAGCCTTTACAGGTGTCACGTAGTGGTCAATGGCACCTTTGCCTCCCCCCATGCGGTGCCCAACACCTTTGCGAGTGATGGGCTTGAAAGGGGCTGGTACTCGCCATATGGCAAACATGTTCTTGGGGTCCATAGAGCGGTTGATTGTCAGGCGCATCATTTCAAAGTGCCCCCAGTGGAGGTAGCCACCACCCAATGCCTAAAAGTGAATGGGAGAATTACAAACACATGTGACTTCGATATCTTCCATGGGCTCTTCTATAATGTCTCTCGTAGTAACTATGGCTTCAATGATACAATTGAAAATACAAATTTAAGGTCTAATAAGTTCCATGGAGGAAAAGCGTAGGGTGCACAGTAATAAACAGAGTGAGGGGGACCCACTTCAGTGGAGAGGCAGGGAAGGCTTCTTTGAAGAGGTGACATCTAAAGCTAAGGCCAGAATAAAAAGACCAACCAGCCAAGGGAAAACAGAGGAGTGTGCCAGGCATAAGAAAGGCTTCTGTGGAGGCACTGGCACAACAGAGGGCTTGGCGAGTTGAACAGAAGCCAATGTGGCTGGAGTAGAGTGAAAAATGTGGAGAGTGGGCAGGAGGTTCTGAGAGGTCAGTGGGGGTGATCATGTACGCTGCAGGAAGAGGACTTTAGAATATCACCTTGGCTGCCTGTGGAAAATAAATCCTAGGGCACACCCATTTGTGTAGCTGCAGACATCAAGTCTTCATGGAAGCTTGATCTTTCCGCATCTTCACTAGAGATACTTCAACAAGTAAGGAAACAGCTATTTTCCACATCTGAAATTGTGGATAGTTTTATTTTTTCCAGGGCTTGAAAAGATCTCATGATCTGATTATGGGGCAAATTAGATAGCCCCTTCCTTCTCCTGCTGTTACATTATTTTCACTCTACATTAAAAAAAAAAGTATAACCCAAATGTTTACTGGGTACCCAGTAGCCTCTGTACACATCAGTTTAGAGAGCAACTGGTGGCAGTTCTAATAAAAACCGTAGAGGAAGAGACTAGAATTAACTCAAGAAGTATGAGATTCTGTTACTCCCTAGCTTCTATTCCAAAGCTGCTTGATGCTGAATTCACTCACCAAGATCGCAAAATTGCCTTCTGTGAACTCCGTAGCTTCAGTGGAAGGTCCCCGTATGTCACTCAAATTTCTAGGTTCTTTTTTTACTTTTGGCACAAGTGGTACCCTTTCAACAAATCTAAGCTTGGGTTTTTCAGGAATGGAAACATCTAAAAGGAGCACAGACAACCAGGATAAAGTAAAACTACACATCTCAAAACATTTATTTTCTCCCTAGAAAGATTTATAACAGATGAAAGTCTTAATTTCTTTCTTCTTCATTTTTTGATAGAGACAGGGTCTCACTATGTTGCCCAGGTTGGTTTCAAACTCCTGGCCTCAAGTGATTTTCCTGCCTTCAATTCCCAAAGTGTTGGGATTACAAGTGTGAGCTGCCATATCCAGCCTGAAAGTCTTAAAGTTACCACTGAACAATAATTCCAAAGGTACATTACATTTTTGCAGATGCTTTTAGTGACACTGGAATCTTCTGGCTATGACTAGGGCTAATGCAAATGTTTCTAACACTTTAAAGATAGCAAAGTTTTAACTTCTTAATCCAAACACATTTATTCATCACCAACTCTGTACCTAATGCTGTAACAGCAATTGTTTGGAAATCACTAGTTCATTTAATCTTCAGAAAAACTTTATAGCTTCGGTATTCTTTCAGGGCTTCCTTTTTTAAAAATTTTAAACCTGTCAAAGTTTAACACAGATACACCAAAGGGACAAATTAAAACATACAGCTCAGTAAATTACTAGAAAGTGAATGCATGAACACATATCACTAACACCCAGATCAAGAAACAGGACATTAAGCAGGTAATATATTTAATCTCCATTTTATAGAAGAACCTGAGGCCTAGAAACATTTTATTTTTGGTCTATGCCATCCAGTTAAACAGCAAAGCTCTATAGCATGTCAGAAAAACATATATATTTACTGCCTCTCTGGATGTTAATGGTAGTGGAAGAATACTATATTGTACATCAAAATATCTAAGTTCTCCAGGTCTGCCACATTATTGTTGAGAAACCACCTAGGAATCCTTTGATCAATGCTCCTTCTCTCATATATGCAGGGACTTTTCATGCTGAGGCCTGCACAGGTACTCACTGTGCAACAGCATGCCAGGTTTTGGTGGGTGGGCACAACTTTAGGCCAGACATGTAACATCATCTTTATCATCCTTACTTGACAATTTGGGGAAAAAAATCAACATGTAAGTCATTTAAAAAAAATTTCTAAAGTGAACCAAGTATGGCTTTATAATGGAGACAAATATAAAACAGGAGACTTTGAGGAAATTGTTAAATTATTACTATCAGAATTTCAGAAGCTGCCCCCCCAGCTTCTCTAAGCAGCTACAGAGAAACTTAGTACTGCTTTCTTCCAACTACAAGTGAAAATGTACTTTCAGAACATATAGTGGTTAAATAATTCTATATAGAAGACCCTCAGATGTACAGACCCTATTCATTTTTTGAGGGTTCCAGTATATATATATTTTAAAAGTAAACTAGTTTTACAATATTGTACCTTACCTTAAATTTAACAAAGCTTTTTACATATTGTATATATGCATATATGTAACCTTATTTGGAGAGAACATGAAAAGTCCAGATTTTTTCTTTCCTTTGAGACAGAGTCTCACTCTGTTGCCCAGGCTGGAGTGCAGTGGCCTTCTGAGTAACTGAGATTACAGGTGTGCACTACCATGCCCAGGTAATTTTTTGTATTTTTAGTAGAGACGGGGTTTCGCTTTGTTGGCAGGCTGGTCTTAAACTCCTGGCCTCAGGTGATCTGCCCTCTTCCTAAAGTGCTGGGATTACAGGCTTGAGCCACCGTGCCGCTCAAAAATCCAGATTTCAGGCCTATTACTACTGGCTGAGTGGACCACGGGCCACACACCAGTGGGAGGCGTTAGGGAAGCTATATCATTAGACACTCCTCCATAAAAGGAGGGAACGTTTTTGGTTTCCTTTGTTCTTTGATTTATTTCTAGTGCTCAGAATATTGGTTGGCAAGATAATAGGTTCTAAAAACATATTTACTGACAGAGTGATTGGGGATAGGAAACACAAGAACACTCATGTCATCTCACACCCTCTGCTGGTTTCCACCAGAGAAAAGACTTAGAAACAGGAAAAAGACAAGTTCTCACCTTCAAAACTTGGTACTGGGAGCAGTGTCTTTAGTCCAGCACTGGCGGGGAGGGGTGCCCAAGAATCTACCGAGACAAATGAAGTTAAACGACGCAGGTGACAAGGCCAGAGCCCCGGTACAACCTGGGCCAAAGGTACTTTTTTTTTTTGAGACGGAGTCTTGTTCTGTCACCCAGGCTGGAGTGCAGTGGCGCGATCTCGGCTCACTGCAACCTCCACTCACGGGTTCAAGAGATTCTCCTGCCTCAGCCTCCGGAGTAGCTGGGATTACAGGCAACCGCTACCACGCCCGGCTAATTTTTTTGTATTTTTAGTAGAGACAGGGTTTCATAATGTTGTCCAGGCTGGTTTCAAACTCCTGATCTCAAGCGATCCGCCTGCCTCGGCCTCCCAAAGTGCTGGGATTACAGGCGTCAGCCACCCCGCCGGCTCAAAGGTACTTCTGCTGGAGGATTCTTGAGGTGTGGAATGCGGGTTCCACTAAATGGACTCAGAGGCTCAGGCCCCGCAAAAGGCCAGCCGGGGTCTCTGGGCGCCGAGTCCCAGGCGCAGCTGTGACCCTCTTGCACGAACCCCTACCGTGGAGGTCCGCGGCGGGATAGCGCAGTCCCTAACCAGTGCTTCATCCAACATATGCAGAGCCGCTTTTGGGTTAGGGAGAAAAAGCACCAGAGGGTGGGGGAGGAAAAGGGATAGTCTTTAAGAACCAAAGGGGACTTCTGACCTGACAAGGGCACACGCAGGAGCGGCGCACTGGCACGAGCCAGCAGCCTCCACATGGTCACGGGCGTCTGGGGGCGCCGAGCTCCCCACAGCGGCAACAGGGACCCCCTCCACGCCTGCAGGCAGCTGCGTTCTAAGGCCTGGAATTGACTTAGGACGCCGCTCAGTGGGGGCGGAAGTGATGTTCACTCAAGCAGAGTCCCGACGGAAGCGGAAGAAACGTGAGCTCCGGCGGGTTGAGTTCCTGCGATGGTGTTCGCGAGTCAAAGGCGCGATTCTCCCAGCCACGCCCAGGGCCTCTGTTGGTTCTCTAGCTTTCGCCTTCCAATCACCGGTCTTTCCACAGAAGAGGGAGGCGGGGCAGGGATTCTTTTGTTTTGTTTAGTTTTTTTTTTTTTTTTTTTTCCTGTGGAATATAACTGTCAGTGCCTGCCCGTCGCTTATCAAGCTGGTCCGTTAAGGTCCACAGCCTTTGAGACCTTTTTCTAGGGGGCCCCGCAAAGACATTAGGAAAACACTAGATTTGGCATTGGTTTAACATTTATGGGGCAATTGCAATGTGTCATTGAGTACCTAATTGGTTAGTTCTGCCAACGAATCTATGAGGTAAGTCATTATACTTATTTTGCAGATTCCATCCCGAGGGTGGAATGATTTAACTTATTCTGTGTCATACAACAGGAAAACAATACCTTCAGGATTTGAGCACAGTCTGTGATTCCAGAGATCTCAGTGAATGAACAGTATTGTTGATGAAGCAAGTCAAACTCTGTAAAATTTTGGAAGAGATTTATTCTGAGCCAAATATGAGCAACCATGGCCCATGACACAGCCCTCAGGAGGTCCTGAGAACATGTGCCCAAGGTGGGAGGGGTGCAGCTTGGTTTTATATATTTGAGAAGGGCATGAGACACCAGCCAAATGCATTTAAGAAATACATTGGTTTGGTTCAGAAAGGTGGGGCAAGTCAAGGTATGTGTGTGTGTGTGTGGGGCCTTCCAGGCTATGGGTAAATTTAAACATTTTCTGGTTGACGGTTGAGTTTGTCTAAAGGCCTGGGATTGATAGAAAGGAATGTTCAGGTTAAAGATAAAGGATTGTGGAGACCAAGTTTTATTATGCAGAGGAAGCTTTTATATAGCAGACTTTAGAGAAAACCTGTTTGATACCGTTTTTATTAATCTGACTAAAAGTGTGCCTGGAGGCCAGGCACAGTGGCTCACGCCTGTAATCCCAGCACTTTGGGAGGCAGAGGTGGGCAGATTACCTGAGGTCAAGTGTTCAAGACCAGCCTGACCAACATGGTGAAACCCCTTCTATACGAAAAATACAAAAAATTAGCTGGGTGTGGTGAGGGGCACCTGTAATCTCAGCTACTTGGGAGGCTGAGGCAGGAGAATTGCTTGAGCCCAAGAGGCGAGGTTTGTGGTGAGTTGAGGTAGTGCCACTGCCCTCTGGTCTGGGACATGACAGAGCGAAACTTCATCTCAAAAAAAACCCAAAAAAACAAAAAAAAAAACCTGGGAGTTGGGTGCCTGGCTCTTAATTGTTTATATCCTGGATCTGGGAAGGAATGAAGGAAAACAAAGGGGACAGAGAATTCCTATAGAAGTGGATTTTTCCTGGAAGAGACGTTGCAGGACAATTTCAAGGTCTAGCAAAGAAATATATTTTGTTTTGTTTTTTTTTTCCCTTGTCTCGTAATGTTATGCCAGAGTCAGATTGAAAAGTAAGTTCCAATATATAGGATCAAATAAAACTCATCTGATAATAATTTATGGTTTGTAGGGCATGATTCCCTAGACCCCTAGGTAGGAATTTGGGCAAGATAAAAAATCAGAGCTTAGTCCTCGAGTTGAATATTGTGTAATCTTGTTTTGAGTGAAAAATGAAATGGCAATAAAATCACTGTTTGATTAGTTGGTATGCCTTTTGGCAACCCAAAACTTCTACCTTGTTGTTTATTTCAAAAGAATCAAAAAGCGCACTCGGCAGATCCAGTGCAATCCCTATCAAAATGCCAATGTCACTTTTCACAGAAAAAAAACCAAACCCTTAAGTTCGTTTGGAACCATAAAAGACCCTGAATAGTCCAAACAATCTGAAACAAAAAGAATGAAGCTAGAGGAATCATACTCCCTGACTTCAAAACATAAATTGATTGTAATCGAAACAGCATGGTATGGCAGAGAAACAGACACATTGACAAACAAATAGGATAGAGAACCCAGAAATAAACACGTACATTTATAGTTCATTGATTTTTTTTTTTTCAAGGTGTAGTCTCATTCTGTTGTCCAGGCTGGAGTACAGTGGTGCCATCTTGGCTCACTGCAACCTCTGCCTCCTGGGTTCAAACAATTCTCCTGCCTCAGCCTCTCTACTAGCTGGGACTACAGGTGCATGCCACCATGCCTGGCTAATTTTTTCTGTTTTTAGTAAAGACGAATTTTGCCACATTGGCCAGGCTGCTCTCAAACTCCTCAAGTGATCCACCCACCTAGGCCTCCCAAAGTACTGGGATTACAGGCATAAACCACCGCACCTAGCCCAGTCCACTGATTTTTTGACAAAGGTGCCAAGAACACATAATGGGGGAAGGATAGTCTCTTCAACAAATGATGTTGGGAAAACCAGATATTCACATGCACATTGAAACTGGACCTTTGTCTCATACAACATACAGAAACCAACTTAAAATAGCTTCAAGATTTAAATATAAAACCTGAAAGCATAAAACTGTCCGAAGCGTTTGAACCAGAGTGACTCCGTCTGGAATAAAGGCTGGGTAAAATCAGGCTGAAATCTACTAGGCTGCATTGCCAGATTAGGCATTACTATCACAGGATATTTGTGGTTAAGAGAACAGTTAATAATGTTTACCAGGGCCAGGCTTGGTGGTATGCATCCATAGTCCCAGCTACTCAGGAGGTGGGAGGGTAGTTTGAGCCAGGAAGGCAGAGGTTACAGTGAGCTGTGATAGCGCCACTGCACTTCAGCCTGGCTAATAGAACAAGACCTCATCTCAAACAAACAAACAAATAAAATAATGTTTACTGAAAAGACTCAGGACTTAATAGACCCAGGATATATCTTGATGTCCTGATATCTTAATAACAAAAGCATTCCTAGTGTAAGAATAAGTTTCCTGGCCTGGTAAGCCATGGCTCAAGCCTGTAATCCCAGCACTTTGGGAGGTCGAAGTGAGTGGATCACCTGAGCACAGGAGTTCAAGACCAGTCTGGCCAACATGGTGAAACCCTGTCTCTACTAAAAAATGCAAAAGTTAGCTGGGCATGGTGATGGGTGCCTATAATCCCAGCTACTCAGGAGGTTAAGACAGGAGAATCATTTGAACCCAGGAGGGAGAGGTTACAGTGAGCCAAGATTATGCCAGTGTACCCCAGCCTGGGTGACAAGAGTGAAACTTTGTCTCAGAGAAAAAAAACAACAGTAAGTTTTACTTTCAATTTAATAATATAGATTCTTGCAAAAGACAGTAGTTACACAAAGATGAACAATCCTTTGTCACAAGCACTTGTAGCAGAACACATATCCCCCTGATTTTTTTTTGCTTTGTTATCTTGTATATAAACAAGCATTTGTACCTAAGGTGGATATGTTCCTCCTCTTACTTTTGTGAATGCTCTGTCTGTGGAGTAGCTATTCTTTCTTTCTTTTTTATTTTTAGATGGAGTATTGCTCTGGTGCCCAGGCTGGAGTACAGTGGCACATTCTTAGCTCACTGCATCTCCACCTCCTGGGTTCAAGAGAGTCTCCTGCCTCAGCCTCCTGAGTAGCTGGGACTACAGGTGTGTGCTACCATGCCCAGCTAATTTTTTGTATTTTTAGCAGAGACAGAGTTTCACCATGTTAGCCAAGATGGTCTCAATCTCCTGACTTTGTGATCTGCCTGCCTTGGCCTCCCAAAGTGCTGGGATTACAGGCATGAGCCACCACACCCTGACCGTTTTTATTTACATTCTTAATAAATTTACTTTCACTTTGCTCTGTGGACTCACTCCCAAGTTTTTTCTTGCACAAGATCCAAAATCCCTCTCTTGAGATCTTATTGAGGCACTTTCCTGTAACAAAACTACTAGAAGAAACTGTAAACCCATAAAATCAAAGACAGGTCTCAGTTAATTTAGAAAGTTTATTTTAACAAGGTTGAGGACGTGTGCCCGTGACACAGCCTCAGGAGGTCCTGATGGCATGTACTCAGGGTGGTCAGAGCACAGTTTGGTTTTAAACGTTTTAGGTTACATTTTAGGTTTATACATTTTAGGGGGCCAAGAGACATCAATCAACATATCTAAGATGAACATTAATTTGGTCTGGAAAGGCTGTACAACACAAAGTGGGGAAGGGACTTCCAGGTCATAGGTAGATAAGACAAATGGTTACATACTTTTGAGTTTCTGACTAGCCTCTCCAAAGGAGGCAATCAGATATGCATTTATCTCAGTGCGCAGAGGGGTGACTTTGAATGGAATGGGAGGCCGGTTGGCCCTAAGCAGTTCCCAGCTTGACTTTTCCCTTTAGTGATTTTGGGGGCCCAAGATATTTTCTTTTCACAAAACCATAGAGGAAAACGTCCACAACAATATAATTTTGTGAGCAATAATATTTTGCAAATGACCTTGAAATTACAGACAACAAAAGCAAAAATAGACAAATGGGATGGCACAAAGTAAAAACTTCTACACAGCAATGGAAATAACTGACAAAATGAAGAGACAACAGACGGAATGGGAGAAAACATTTCCAAATTAAACAGCAGATTAAACAGCAGGAGTTAATATTAAAAACATATCAGGAACTCAAACAACTCAACAGCAAGAAAACAAATAACCCAATTAAAAAATAAGCAAAGGACCTAAACAGACATTTCTCAAAATAAGACCAACAAAGAGCTAACAGGTACATGCAAAAATGCTAAGCATCACTAATCATGAGGGAAATGCAAATTAAACCATAACGAGATACTCACCACACACCTGTTAGAGTGGCAATTATCAAAAAGATGAAAAATAATATGTTGGCAAGTATGTGAAGAAAATGATGTAACTCTTGTACATTGTTAGTGGGAATGAAAATTAGTATATTAATGTTATGGAAAATGGGATGGAGTTTCCTCAAAAAACTGTGCGTGTGCATGTGTATTTGTGTGTATGCATGCATGTGCATGTACACTATCTCATTTTATAGACCACATGGGTTTTTGCTGATCAGGTTGTAAGCATCACCATGAAACTTCTTCACTCC